TCCTTAAAAACCTTAGTTTGGGGTTATTAATATTAGAAACCTTAGTTTCTATTAAGACATATTAAGACATTACTGTTTCCTACTAGCTGGGTGGCCTCTTTGAGCATGTTTATGCATTTGTGAAACTAGTATAAACTATCCTATCTAAATCCCTAAGCTGTCAAGTAGCAGAAAGTAGGTCAAAGCACATAATAAATTGTAAAGCCCTACAGAAAAACAAGGAACTTTAAGAGGCCTAAGAACGTTTATATTTGTGTTCAGTTTCTCATGAAACGGGAATAGAGAGACTTACTTTGCTCATGGGGGTCCTCAAATATCTTAACATTATAAAATCTTCAAATATTAAGTGTTATGCAATTACTTTGTAATAGACTTATTTGGTTAACTATGTAGAATAATTTCTAAAATGCGGAGTACCTCTTTGATTTTCCTAGGACAAAAAGCAATTGAGTATAGCTAGTTTGGAAAAAGTTATTTCTCAGCTCTTTCCCCTTCTACTTTAAGATATGTGTAAGCTTTCACCAGGTTAATGGCATAGTCCAGTAATAGATTCAGGTAAATCAGCTTCCTGCTGTTGAAGTTTTGAGAGGCACCTGTAGGTACTGCAGGAATAGGGAAGTCAGTGGGTAGTAAGATCTAGGAGGGAACTTGAGGAAAACAGGAAGCCATCCTCCTGACTGAGATTCAGAACTTCAAATAATCCAAAATTAGTCCTTCTATTTTCTTTTATTCGAAAGAGTTTACTGCAAACACTTCTTGGTATCTTTCATTTTCTTTATCATGGACCATTAAATCTTAGAAGATGTTCATGAAGAATAAAAGTGTCAACTTTGGGGCCAAAGCAACAGTATGGCAGGGAGGGTGCTTGCCTTTCACATGGCCAACCCAGGTTTGATCCCCGGCTCCCCCAGATGGTCCCCCTGTGCCCACCAGGAGTGATCCCTGAGTACTGCTGGCTGTGACAGGAAGGCAGACAAGCAGGGTGGCTGGCCTTTATGAAGACCTGTGATGGATAGAAGCTCCCTATCATATACGTAGACTGTCCTATAAGATTCTTTATTTCAGCTTTTAATCAAACCACAACTGACTCAGTCAGCAGTTAACAAACCAAATTTAACAAACCAAATCTTTTATCAGCCAACAGATTAATGTGAAAGTGAACTGAATAATGGTAACTTGAGAGATGCTCAAAGCTTCAAATCTAAGAAAATTTTCTCATTTAAAAGTAAAATTTTCATTTCATTGCTGGTGAGAACCTCCCTTTGTTTTCCCTTTTATTGTAATTTAAAATAGTATATAGTAAAATGAAGTCACCCTGCTATAAATCTATTTCTCCCTTTGCTAACATAACAAAAAAAATCTGATAGTCACATTGTTCATGGATGGAATTTTTGGAGCATCTCTTAAGAAGTTCACTAGTGTGATTTAAATTCCTCCAAATTGTTATCAGTCTCAACAACTGAGAAAGATTCTTTGATACTTTAACTTATTAAAAAAGTTGCCTTGAGATAAAACACAAAGTTAAATTACTACCCTGAGGTGAGGAGCGGGGAGCTTTCCCAGCGATTCTCAGGGCCCCTGGAGCCACTCTTGGCTGGGCAAAGTGGCCCAGATGCCATACTACTTGGGGCCAGCACCCTGGAGGCCCCACCAGTGCCACAACCTGGTGAGGCACAGGACATCATGCTGGCCTCTGGGAAAGAACTCAGGGCTTCATTATGCAGGCTAGGCATATGCTTCAGCTTTTTGAGTCATCTCCCCATCTCCTAAATTGCTATTTTTTATTTTTCTCTTTTTATTTGATTCATACCTGGTAGTGCTTGGAATCAGCTAGAAGAGCTTGGGGGACCATGTAATTCCAGGAATAAAACTCAGGCCTCCTGCATGCAAAGCCTGTGCTCATTCCATTCAATGAACTCTCTGCCCCCGAATTATTACTTTTTTTTTTCTTTTTGGGTCACACCCGGCAATGCACAGGGGTTACTCCTGGCTCTGCACTCAGGAGTTACTCCTGGCAGTGCTCAGGGGACCATATGGGATGCTGGGAATCAAACCCGGGTCGGAGGCATGCAAGGCAAACGCCCTACCCGCTGTGCTCTCTCTCCAGCCCCAAATTATTACTTTTTAAGAAGAAAGTTAGAAAGGAAAAGTTGAGTTTCCAAGAAGCTTCTTCTTCTTCACTAGCATCCTTTAAGATTAAATCTTGTGCCACCAGGAATAATTCCTGAGTGCAGAGCCAGAAGTAACCCCTGGGCATTGTTGGGTGTGGACCCCCCAAACCTTTATATATATATATATATAAAGGTTGTTCATCGATTTGCTCGAGTGGGCCCAGTAACGTCTCCATTGGAGATTTTGTTGTTACTGTGTTTGGCATATCAAATACATCACGGGTGGCTTGCCAGGCTCTGCCGTGTGGGTGAGATACTCTCGGTAGCTTGCCGGGCTTTCCGAGAGAGGCGGAGGAATCGAACTCGGGTCGGTCACGTTGGCTGCGTGCAAGGCAAACGCCTTACCGCTGTGCTATCGCTCCATCCCATATATATATATATGTATATATATATATAGTGTATATACACACACGCACACACACACATACACATATACAGATATTTGTAAGGGTGATTACATAGCTGTGATTTTAGGTGTGACTCTAGAAATAAGTTGGGGTCAAAGTCTAGTTTCTATCACTTATGTGAATTCAGGTAAGTCATGTGATCCCTGTATATTATTGCTTTCACACTGGAAAACAAGTAGAGTAACAATTCCAAAGCTATGGTAAGAATGGTAAGAATTGAGATGATTCATAATTTTCTTTTTCATGTCATATAAATTCACTATGTAACAAAATGAAGTGAAAAACAGGTAAACAGCACAGTACTGGAGCTGGGTAGGTAGCTCACTGTGCTGGAGCAAATGCACTGTGTGCCTGACCCTAGGTTTCATCCCTGGGATCAAATGGCTCCCTGAGCACAAGGAAAGACTGCCAAGTACAGAGCCCTTGAGCACCACCAGGTGTGGCTCAAAACCCAAATAAATACAAGGCACAATACTACTGAGTTCAGCTACACTGTAGCTATAACATGTGCTTGTTAAAACAGCTGTTAATTATGCTGACTTGGAATTAATTTTTAAGTGAAGGCTAATATCTTTCATTGCATAATTGTCACTGCATAATTATTGGTACCATTTTTTCTCCCCAGTAATACTGGCATTTTTAAAAAAGTGTAGCATAAAGAAATATAATAAGAGAATAAGAGACGGCAAATGGTAACAGACCCTGAACTGAATTGAGTTTGCTGAGGGGTGGGGCTGGTGTGGAAAGGGTTCTAGTGGTAGAGAGACACTAACATGATAATGATGGGTACGCTATTAGAAAACTATACACCAGAAACTTACTACTATTAACAGTACTGTAATTCACAGTGCCAAAATAAAAAACTGAAGGGGATGGTGAGGATGGGGAGTGCTTCACATAACAGTCTAATACAACTTAGTAATTGGGAGGAAGGAGATAGAATCTGCAACAATAATACAAGTGAATTAATACACACACACACATATATATAGTGAGTGTTTGGGGGGCCACACTTGGTGATGTTCAGGGCTCTGCACTCAGAAATTACTCTTGGCTCTGCACTCCTGGTGGTGTTCAGGGGACCACATGGGGTGCTGGGGATTGAACCTGGGTTGGGCACATGCAAAGCAAGCGCCAACCCACCATACTATCACTCCAGTTCCTCAAAGTGTATTTTCTACATCCTAACCTTCACCAGTGAGACTACTTTACAGTGCCAGGGATTGAATCCATGACCTCACACACGCAAGGTCAGCACTCTACTGCCCCGATAAGGCTGTTCTAACTATGGTAGACATGTTTCAAGCGTATTGCTTAAACATAGAACGGTAACTGTGGTAGTGTATGGAACTGCTCTAAGAAATTCTATTTGGGGAAAAAAAATTAAGATTTTATAAAAGTTTCCTTAACAAATAGTGCCTATTTATATTGATGCTAATATATATAGGATTAATTCTATCTAGATATAGGCCCCATCATCTATGAACTATTAGTTTAACTGAGACCCATAATGCTTACTAAAATTTATTTATTTCCTTTTTGGGTCACACCTGGTGGTGCTCAGGGGACCATATGGGATACTGAAAATTGAATCTGGGTCGGCCGCATTCAAGGCAAATGCCCTACCCGTTGTGCTATTGCTCCAGTCCCTAAAGTTGATTTTTTTATAGCACTGTAGCACTGTCCTCCTGTTGTTCATCGATTTGCTCAAGCGGGCACCAGTAACACCTCACAACAAATTGTGAGACTTGTTACTGTGTTTGGCATATTGAATACATCACAGGTAGCTTGCCAGGCTTTGCCGTGCAGGCGAGATATTCTCGGTAGCTTGCCAGGCTAAAATACTAATTCTAAGAACATTAGTAATTATTATGTGAAAAACATCCAAAGAACATTGCATATCACAGATAACTGGTAGACAAATAGGTTTCTTATATTAGCAGAGTTGGCCAAAAATCCCCAAATATAAGTTTATGTGCTAGTACTTTCGTCACCTAAATTTAAACTGAAGAAAAGGTATCTGCACTGAATGCAAAAACTGGGGTTCCCTTAATTTTCCTTTAATATTTCTTTCCACGCCTCTGTAAACATTGGTTATGCAATATCTATTTGTTAAAAATATGTAAATAAGTGTATCAGTTTTGCAAGATCAAAATTAATTTATTTAACAACAGGTCTTGAAGAGACATTCCTTTTTAACCTACTTGATTTATTTCTTGGATGTTCCAATGAATTATATTTACTCAGGAAAACACACAAGGTAGTAATGCCATAGAAACTTTCCAATTCACTTATTTCCATTCAGAAAGCAATTCCTATATTATACAGAACCAAAAGTTCTCCTTAAAAAAATATATATGTTGATGCTACACTAGGGGTGTAACTCCTTATAAAGCAAGCATGAATGTGGCATCAAACTTACTTTTCCAAAGAAGCCTTTGAAGAACTTCCTTTCCTGGAGGAACAGGGGGACAAGTCGAGCGCTATTATTGTATGGCTAAATGTCCCAAGGTTTCACACCAATAAGCACATACAGAAGTTGGTAAAGGAGAAAGTGGGAGAAGGGAGGGAGTGAGAGTTTTAAGGAGTTATCCATACCAGGAGTGACAGGGAAATAGGAAGGGTGCATGAAAATGCAGGAAACACACTGTATGGCATAAGAATTCATAGAAAGGATGAGAAGACATCAGGACCAGTATCCATGCAGGGCAACTGGTCAGTTTATATTCTGCTTACTACTTTTAAAACAAATTATCCAAATTTGGCAGCAGAGAAAAAAAATCAGGACAGAATGGCTTGATGAAATTTGTATTTAAAATTCTGTAATATTGAGTAGTAAAAGACTGTTTCCATATGCATTTCCAATTTAAAGTAAGTGGTCAATTATGTGGAAGTCATCAATTAAAAAAATCTACATCCAAATGATGATATGATGACACACATCAAACATAATACATCCAGGGCCAGAGAAAGAGTACAAGGGTTATCCCCACAACTGGTTGCCTGAGCATCATCCAGCACCACAGATTTCAAGCAGCACTACTTCCTTGGGCCCTTGAATTGTGGACCTGTAGTACTTACGCCAACGATGCAGTGTTCTTGGGCTCTGTGGTGCTAGGGGGCACCAGCATTTTACTAGGAAGTGCTCAGAAGACCATGTGGTGCCAGAGATCAAACTACGGGTCTCCTGAACTCAAGGCATGCACTCTAGTCTTGAGCAACTTCACACATCCCCTGCCAGCATTTTTAAAGCATATACTAACTTTGAAAATTGCACATGTAAAATCTGAAGAACTAAAGCAACACAGATTGATTTTAACTCAATCGAGCAAGATTTTTATTTCCTAGTTTTGGCTGAACTATACTTTTCAGAATGTAAATGTTCAGAGAAATATAACTATATAGAAATATGATTCTCTCAAATTGCAAACTCATTCAATATTCTCAAACACTATTTTATTCCAAAATCTGAAAGTCACAAACAGCAGCAAAAACTGACACAAAATATTTTGAACTTCAGTGGGAAAAAATTTACTTATACTGAAAAATGTATTTATACTGGAATATTTACTACAGTAAGACTAAGCTTGTTTCTGCTGCCAAGTTTGGTGACCCTAGTTTTGTTAGATTGTGAGTAACTATCAGTTTTTAAGGATGCAGCCAAAGTTAAAAGATTTACCATTCTTTAGGGATGGGGAGGTGAGGGAAGGCAATCTGTTAATATTTAATTTAGATCCCAGAAAAGCTCTTGTTAAACATGGAGTTTGCTTTCTTTTATTATAAAAAAGACCTCAGATGTTAATGAAAAAAGTTGATATGTAAAATGCATAAAAGACAGTTAATAGATTAGAGAATAATATTAATATTTTTAAAAGATTAAATGATTCTTTTACCTGCTAAAACAAGAACATACATTAAAACAAATATATCAAATAGTGAATAAAAACTCAACATATTAGAAACTGCTAGTATAAATGAAACTAGTCTAAAACCAAGACAGAGAGGGAGATATTTACAAAGATACTGGAAAGAAAAGACTTTTTAAAAGGAAGGGCATATTGGATCACCATCAAGCAAGATAATCAAAGATCCAGTACATTTTTTATGAAATAGACCGACAAAAATATTTTTTATTCTACAATTTATTATGCCATAAAGACACTGAAAATTCTATATAGTCGAAATCCCAAAGTGGGTAACTTGAGCTGAAAAAAGCTGTAATTTTACACGCAAAATAAAAAGTTTTTTTAAAAAATGAACATTTATGCTCTAAGAAGCATATGTTTAAAATACTACCTTGTATTAAGTATGCAGATAATTTCGAAGTGAAATTAAATTAATCCTGGAACCTGAGACTGAGACTGAACATCAAACTGAGCTCACGCTTGGCACACAGGAGACTCAGCCTTGATCCTTGATATTGCTTGGTTCCCCTCCCCTGAGCACCACCACGAGTGACCAAAGCACCATGTTGGAGTAGCACCCCAGCACCACTGGGAGTGGTTCAACATCAAAAAAAAAATTCCTATATTGAAGAAAATCACTTTGAAGAGAAAAATATAATACTTGGAAATCATTCTGCTTTCTTAATTGCCCATAAATGTAAAAAGCACTAAACGTTACATTTTAGTTAAAAGATCATTCAGGTGATAGGTCCTAGATGTCTGTTACTTAACTTGCATACATGAGCTAAAGAACTCTTTTTAGGGGGAGAGGGTACAATCCCAGTGGTGTTCAGGGAACCATATGGTGCTGTGGACCAAACCTGGGACTCCACCAAGCAAAGAATGTACTCCAGATCTTTGAGTTATTTCTTAAACCCTGTAAAATTCTTTGGATTTGAAAACTTTGACTTTCAAGCCAGTTCCACTGACATGCTATTTCTTCTTTAATCTCCTGAAGGCTTGTTCACTTTTACATTTGCTTCCATTTATTTCAAACTCTTAGAGGAAGCTTTGACTATAGAAATTAAAAACAAACAACAACCACCTCCCAAGACAGCTTTTGGCACAATATAAGTATCCAGCAAAACACACTATAGATAGTTGTTAGATGAGTGCTTTGTGTGTGAGGAAAAAGGCAACTAGAAATTTCTGTACAGTAAAAACATGAAAAGACAAAAATCATGAATCTTTATAGACTACAATGATCTGTAAGAATAATATCCTCCGTGGTGGTGGAGGATGGGCACTGGTGGAAGGATGGGTACTTGATCATTGTATAACTGAAACCCAAGCACAAAAATTTATAAGTCTATAACTGTACCTCATGGTGTTTCACTAATAAAAAAATTTAAAAAAAAGAAAAAAAAATAATATCCTGAAGACTTCCAACTTTCTGCAACCTTCTCTGTACAGCATTAGAAAGGGTATTTACAGGACGAAGTTTCAATGAGAATAGTAACAAAAAATTAACCTGTTATTCCAAAATTAAATGTCATTTTTAATCAGCATGTTTGCTTATGTAAAATGACATATAACATTTGCTCCAAGTATTCTGAATATGGGAGTCAGAAAAATTTTAAAGAACTTAAATGAAAAGTTCTGAAATAGTCAAATTTTCTCCCAATATTAAAATGTTTAGGTACATCCAGAAAAGCAATCAATATATAAATTTTCAATAGTCATAAAAGAAGATAAAAAAATAAAAATGTTTTAGGAGATAAAGTGGCCTCATATCTTTAAAACTTTTTACTTTAAAATACTAAACCTATGAAATGATTATGATGATTATAATGAAAAGCAATTTGACCACATATTAAAGGCTGAATTGCTTTTTGTATAATCATTCCAAAATATATTCTGAGTGGCTACTATATTACGGACATTGTTGTAGACACAGGATTAAATACAAAAATTTTTATGGGAGTCACTTCTGGCAGTGCTCCGTGGCAGTGCTTGCAGAGCTATGATGCACTAGAAATGGAACTTAAGTCTATGAGTATGCTAGGTATACGCTCTACCACTTGAATATCTCCTCAGCTCCAGAATGACTGTTTCAACAGTGATTTGTTACTTCTGATAAAAAAAATTCATAAAATTTTATTAAACAGCTCTATAACTCAGATAACCATGCTTATGGTTCAAGATCTTCATTGTAAAAAATTAAAGTTTAATAGCCAAACAATATCTCCAACCATCTTGTTTTAACACTAGGAATATTTGGTGGGGATGTCATGTGACTCTAGGAACCACTAGATTCACATCTCTTGCCACTATGTAGGCTGGTTGTTCATTTGCTTTATACACACACACACATATGGTATTTTCAGTTAAAAGTTGGTTAGGAAAAAAACTGGACAGAGACGAGCATTAATTATGTGTTCAACAACTAAAAACCATTTCTTACTAACTTCTGGCAAATTTAACCTTTCTTTCTGAGAGAGAACATGAGGATATACTCATTGAATTAGAAGAATTTTTGTTTCTTTGGGGGCCACATCTGGAAATTCTTAGGGCTTACTCCTGGCTCTGTGTTCAGGGATCACTCCTGGTGGGGACTGGGAACCACACAGAGTACTGGAAGACATGCCAGGTTGGCCATGTTATACGGTAAGTGCTCTCTCTACCCATTATATTATCTCTCCGGCCCCTTAATAACTTTCTGAAGGGTCATTCCTCAGTAACCTTCTTATTAGTAAATTCTAATATTTTAATAACTTTATAGTTTGCTTCAGATCTGTTCATTGATTTATCTTTTATTAGTCATTAGTCTTGTAATGTTATAAGAACATTTGTCCAGTAAGGCAAATCACTGCAATATTTTAAACTATTCTTAGTTAAAAAAATTTTTAAAAATAATATTCTTAATTAAATTTTCTCTAAATAGAATTATTTTGCTAAAGAAGAGACTAAACAAACTGATAGTTCTTGGAAAATTGTACTATTTGAGATGGTACTTTTAAAAATATTATTTATTTTATTAAATTACCATGATAGAGCATTACAAAGCTATTCATGAAACTGTAATTTAACTGAAAATATATTCAGCCAGAATAGCAAATCTCTAAATTAGTTTTAAACACGTATTAATATATATCCCATTAAGATTAATATTCATTAATTGGAGAGAAGACAGACTAGGAATGGGTTAGTTTTAGAATTAGAAATTGTTTAACTTAAAAGAATTAAAACATTTTAATTTCAAAAAAATTTTTAAAATTCAAAATGACCAAAATCCAAGATAAAGGATAGCCGCATGTGCGCTCACAGGTGCGCGCGCACACGCGCACACACACACACACACACACACACACACACACACACACACAATTTTGTTTTGTGTGGCTGGGAAATGAACCCAGGCTGCATGCTCAGAAGGCATACACTTCGCCGCTGAGCTCCATCCCTGGACCTACACTTATTTTTATATCTTTGCGTAAGAGAATCAGTTCTTTCCCTCCTCCTTTTTCCTTAGAAAACAGATCCAGGCATTTGTTCCAAAATAAGACCTTCCTCTCTGTTGTTTCCTTAATTTTTACCTTTTATTTTGAGGAGTTATAGATAAGAGATCATACAGAATTTACCAAGATGGATAATTTTAATTATCAAGCAAAATGAGTGGGGAAAAGCACTTATTAGTAGCCAAACTTGTGGCAGTTGCCACATCAGCAAACCCAAAGCAACAAGTACTTAATGCTGCTGGGACAAGGGCATGCAAAAGTAATGCTTAAAGCTTTCACAGCAAAAGGGGAAAAGGCCACACACTGGAGAGAAGGAAGGTTGTGAAGAGGTCTATCAGAGTCTATGAAATGTTTTTCAAATCTACTCTAAATGTGAAATAAACACTTTAAACTGAAGCTCTATGAACTTTGAACCCATTCTCTCCTTTCATTAAATACACAGGTATGTGTCTGTGATGTCTCTATGGCATAATAGGCAAAAGTGAACATTATTCTGGAAAAAAAAAGATTCTCCATTTCAAATATGAGTTTGGAAAAAGAAAATATGTTTATATTAGCAGACTGTAAAAAGAAAATACCAAGAAGATCCCCCCAAACTGTAAACAAAAAACTTCACCAGCCATCATGTTTCTTTGCTTCTGCTTTGTTTTTTTCCTGAATAGCTTTTCCTTGCGGTAGGTTTAAAACTAGTACTTACACACCAGTGATCACAGTTAAAATATTAACTGTAAGAGTTTTATTATGTTGTTCTTATAATTCACTTATAAATTCATGCCACTTATATAATATGGGTTCTAGATAAAAAATATTATTTGAATAATGTTTAGCCTAAATTGAAGATGTTGGTCATTTGAATTTATACCTTTTCAATGGATGAGACTCAAAGTTATTAGTGAGTCTCTATGTTTTGCCTTTTATCTTTAAGGAAACACTGTACTGACTGGATAGTTGGTAACTGTAAGTAAACAAGAAAATTTTCAAAGATTATTTTTGGCATATAAATCAACAGATAACAATTAAATACATACAGCTTTCAATCTTTTTACAGCATCTTCACAGATGTGCATTCCTCTTGACTCATCAACTTCTACATGGCCTAGGTACTGCAGAAATAGAAACAAAAAACTATCATTATGTTTACTAATTAGCTACTACAGACTAGAAATTAGATGATAGAAAACAGAATATACAAATTCTTACTAAAAAAAATTCCCACCTACCGAAGAAGAGTTAAGATGTTGTTTTACTTAGCCTCAGTGTCTTCATATGAATGAGACCTAGAATAATGTTCTCTGGGGTAATGGGATAGCTCAGTGGTAGAGTTCCTAGCCTGCGGTATGAGGCCATTAAATTTGATCCCCACACCATGGTAAGAGGTATGATCTCAGCCTCACTGCCATATGAAATCCTCAGCCATAACAAAGTGTGTGATTTCTGGTGCACTCTCACCAAGTGTGCAAGTATCAACAATCAGTCAATACAGTAATAATTTTAAGATAGAATCCAGACTCAGTCATCACTTTTATCTCTTTTTTTCTATTAAATTAGAAAACTTTAACTCAACATTACAGGTTGTCAGAAATGTCAAGTGTCTGGTGGTACAGCAAACTAGCTTTAGATGTTTAAATTGAATTCACACGCAGAAATAACAAAGTTCTTGTTAGTTTTCACCACATTCTATTTAAATAGGCATTACATTCAAATTCTATAAAACTATATTTTTTCAGCTTCTATGTGATGACAGGCCTTTTAAATCCCTCTGCTTACCTTAATTATATGGTAATGAAACTGGAAAAAAAATCATCCTTTAATAAAAAGTTCAATAAGAGAGACCCACAAATAAATCTCTCAGAGGAGAGTAACATGAGAGCAACATGCTGTAGAGATGCCTCCAAACTTCCAACCAGGCTGTTTGATCCGGGGGAACCCTGAGGGAGGCGGGTAAGTCCCCCTACCTGCTCCAACAGAGCCCCAGAAGCCGAAAAAAAAAAAAACCACTACAGAACTCAATTGCTGCCAAGCTCATGGCCTATCTTCACAGGCTCAGACGAGCCTCATCAATGAGTAAATCTGCTGAAAAACCCAGTGCAGGATTAGCGAATAAAATCTCCAGGCTTGCACAGAGCTGGGAATGGGCAACCTCCCCCCATCTCCCTGTGCTTCCGGTAGCCTGGCAGTCACATCCACAAACTGCCTTTAGCACCATACAAGCCCATTAACAGCCATGACCTAGAGACTCACAAGTAAATCTCCTGGAAAAGAGCAACACGACAACATGAGAGCAACATGCTGCAGAGTTGCATCCAGATCCCAAAGTCTCCATCTAGTTAAAAGTTTAACTCCAGCTATATCACTCCATTAAAATTTTAGAATTCCTGGAGCGGACATCTCATTCTCGACAGCACTGATATACCAAGAGTAGCACACCACATTTGACCGGGTGTAAAGTAGAAGGCAACCAGTCTCAGAAAAAAAAAAAAAATCTCGGAAAAATAAATATATATGTACTAGCATACAAGGCTCAACCTTTAACAACATGTTAGTAATCTCTTATAAAAGGGCTTAATGGCTTTAGGGTGAAATACAAAAATCTTCACACATTTTCCTCTAAGGAAATTTTTTCAAATCATTTTTATCAGATTATTCATAGCAAGCAATACTAAAATAAATTATTTAGTTCCTGGTTTGGAGGCAAAGCAGGAACTGAAAACTCAAAATAAGGTGGTGCAAAGGTGTAATCAGTAGGACAGGTGTTGGAATATTAAATGCAATAGATTATTATGAACAACTTTATAAAAATAAAATTAAATAAAAAACAAAAGTTCAATAATGTATTATTAATTTCTTTGTCCAAAAAGTAAAAGAAATCAATGAACCTTTCAATTATCTTTAAGAAAGCTATCACCCACCATGGATAGTATATATCTGGTAGTTCTCTGGTGTTCCACTGAGTCTATGTAATGGAGACTGTCATTTACAAAGTCACCAACAGAGTAAACTAGAATTTATATGATGCAACTGATTAGTCAGAAATTTTGTGCAACAACAGATCAGCCAAGCATGGGTTTCCGATCCTGGTCAATAATCAAATCCACCATCAAAGACCATTAATTCTATCCATATGCATTCTTTTTGTGGAGGTAGTTTGGATTTTGGAACTGGCTGGTTGTGTCAGGAATTGACCCCAGGGCCTTATATAGGCAAAGCATGTACTCTACCACTAAGCTGCATCCCCAGCACTACTCTAGATTTAAACAACTTTCTCTACAGGTTCTCTCATAATCCATTTAAAGTTTTCTCTTGCTACTTTAGTTAATTCTAAAACTTTTTCCTGGAACATTCTTAAATCTAAAAATTTTTAAATGTTATCGGCATAAACTATACAGTATCCACACAACTTACCCTCACCCTTCCCTTTGCTATTCTTGCTAAGATGACTGCGGGTGAACACATGCTTGATTGTGGTGCTCACCAGGATTCACAGGTCTGGCCAACAGCGCTTTTGAGGGGTGGAGGGGTGTGAGTCAGGGGTGTCACACTTCTTTGGTTATTGGGCTCCTGCACATTCAGGAGGTACTACACTCAGGAGTTACTGTGATTCTCACATACCTGCTTGTGGTAGCTGCACTTATGGTCACATATTTAGGTGTGGTGATTGCAGGGTTTTCATACTTTAGCTGCTATGCTTGGTTGCAGTGCTCTGAAAATCATAACTGTGCTGTAGCAACAGTTAGCAGAGTTGGGGGACAATGACTGGAAAATGTGCGAGGTACTAAAGATCACACTTTTAAGGCAGGTACTTTTGTCACTGAGTCATTACAGAGAGCCTCACAATTTCTTTGTTTGAGTCTAGTTTCATAATTTAAAAAAATCAAAGAGTTTTAAAACTGAATTTTGGGGCTGGAGCAATAGCACAGGGGGTAAGGCTTGCACGTGGCCAATCCGGGTTCAATTCCCAACATCCTCTATCGTCCCCTGAGCATCACCAGGGGTAATTCCTGAGTGCAGAGCCAGGAGTAACCCCTGTGCATTGTCGGGGGTTCCCCATAAGGCAAAAAATAAAATAAAACTGAATTTTGGGTTTTGGGGCCATCCCTGGAATTGCTCAGGGGCTATTCCTGGCTCCATGCTGAGAGATCAATCCTGGTGGTGCTTGGGAGAACATGTGTGATGCTGGAGAACAAACTCATGTAAGCTTCCTGCAAGGTAAGAGACTCACTGCCTACACTATCTGGCTCCCAATTTTCATATCTTTAGTATTATATGTCTAACTTTAATATCATATGTATTTTCTATTTTTTTGTTTCTAATGCTCATACTAATACTATTCAAACATCACTTAATGTTTCCATTTTATATTAAAGTAAAATCATAGAAATTCTGATGATCTCTGTAATATTTTGGTACTGAATAAGTACAGGTTTCAAAGTGTTTCTAAGAGATTTTATTTCATTACAGTATGAATTCAACTAGTTACATAGAGCATTTTTCAGCCAAAAAAGGTGGAGGAGACTTGGTGGGAAAAAAGCAAATTACTCATAAAAAGACTGTCTCAAGGGGCTGTAGCAATACCACAGCAGGTAGGGCGTTGGCCTTGGATGCGGCCAACCCGGGTTCGATTCCCAGCATCCCATATGGTCCCCTGAGCACCGCCAGGGGTGATTCCTGAGTGCAGAGCCAGGAGTAACCCCTGTGCATCGCTGAGTGTGATCCAAAAAGCAAAAAAAAAAAAAAAAAAAAAAAAGGACTGTCTCAAATATATATTCTATTTTAGAAATGCAAAGATAAAAATCTGCCATGTACAGAGATTAGTACCAGGAATTTTACTCAATGACCCGGAGGACAACCACACATGTCAGGGGAAGGGGGAGCTCAGAAAGAGAAGGGAACACCAAATAAAGGGTGTTGGGAGGATCCACCCATGATGGGAGAGCATGCTGAGGGTAGACTGTCGACCAAGCATGATTGCCACTCAATGCCTCTTTTGCCGACCATGGCACTCAAAAGGAGAGAGAGGGAAATGCCCTGCCACAGAGGCAGGGTGGGATAGGGACTGGGGGGGGAGGGGATGCTGGGATCCGTGGTGGTGGGAAATGCGCACTGGTGGAGGGATAGGTGTTTGATCATTGTATAATCGAAACCCAAGCACAAAAATGTGTAAGTCTACAACTGTACCTCTTGGTGCCTCACTATTAAAAAATAAATAAATATAAAAAAAATCTGCCATGTATTTTATCAGACCAAAAGAAAAGCAAGCTCTTTGAAATAAACATTATTAAAGAGATTTCTTCTTTGAGACACTAACTCACTAAAGAGACACTAATTCACTAAAGAACTATAGCTGAATAATGCTTTAATGGCTAAAATATTTGACAATGAGACTTCTTTTATCCGCTTTCTCAAAACTTCCTCTAAGTAAGGGACTTTTATTCACAAAAATGTACTTTGGAAAAACTAGTCTGTGGAATTTCATTCTTGAATGAATTGAGTCATTTTCCTCTTCTTGAAAAAAATTATTTGAAAAGCAGATTCCCTCCTTGGTTGGGTAATGTTATTCATGAGAAGAAATGCAGAGCTCTGAATGTGAGAGAATGCAGTGTCAGCAGTTTGTAGCATTAACAAAGAGTGACATAATTATAAAGTTTTAAGAAGCTGTAAGATATATTGTCATATATACATAGCCCATATTATGGCGATGTAGGTTGCAGATTTGTAAAATATGATTATCAAAGTTTGGGAACTTTAGTCAAAAGAGTAGAAAAATAAAATTAAAATAGTTTGTTCATTAGCTGTCAATTTGGAGTACAATCACTTAATCTAACTTAACTTCCCGTTAGTCGTCGATTTGCTCGAGCGGGTGCCAGTAACGTCTCCATTTGTCCCTGTTGCGTGCTAGTGTAGCCCAATGGCATCTGTTCGCTCCGGGAACATGAAGGGCCTCAAACCGATCGTTCATGATCTTGACGAAGAAGTCTGACCATCTGGTAGGTGGACGGCCACGCGGTCTTTTGACATCCCGTGGAATCCAGTCAGTAACAGCTCTAGTCCAGCGGTCGTCTTTAAATCTCATTACGTGACCAGCCCATCTGATTTTCGACACCTT